TTTAATGTCATAGTGTTCAGGAAGCCATTGTAGAGCCGACATAGCCGACTGGCCATGAATCGAAGCCATTGCTGAGTTTAAATTAAGTACCGGACACGATTGCCTGGCAAAACACCTTTACAGATTGGGAGTATACACTCAACCCCCATGCCCCCTATGTAACCCACAGGAGGAAATGGAGAAGACTCGCCTGATTCGGTGTCCAGCCCTAAAGACAACGACGGAAACCCAGAGCTACTGGGAAGTCCGAGGACAGCTAATAAACTGCTATTAATTAACTGATATTTATGTTCCCCCCCCCCCCTCGTGGGGAAAGCTAACGTCAATTAAGGAGCTAAAGAAAAATATCATAAAGCCTAACGTTTGAAAAAAATAGCTTCTGTTAATAATTTTAATTAATTTTGTATGAGTTTTTTTTCTAGTTACAGCGATTAACATTGCTTCTGGCTTATTTCCATGGGCAATAGTGTATCGCGCTTCAACTCACTATGATAACTATCTACTAGCCTGGTGCTGAACTTTTAATATTATTTAATTTTTACTAACTTATCGTTAATTTTTCATTTAGTTCACTTCCAAACTAATAAGAACTGGTTTGGACTCTTCATTTGATTTAAACGTTAATAATACCACTTTGCATTGCGAATTGAGATAAGTGTCGATAGAGCGCGTCAATCGGTTTCTTTATTGCATTATTTTACTGTGCATTTTTAATTTAAACATAATTAACAAATCGGTTAGTAATATGCGAGGCCATTATTGAACGAAAAAAGAGCAAATATTCATTTGTTAATTAAAAACCCAATGAAAAGACCTAATTTTATGGAAAACACTAAGTTATCGCAATTGCTCGTATTGGACTTCTTTATTCAGTACAAATCTGTTCGAAATGTGGTCAGTAAAAAGAGAAATTGAAATTTGTTACCATGGTGAAATTTATTATGGCTATAAAAACTTTTCCTATTCTGACTCAACTGTTATACAAAAATTGAGCTTTACTTATACCCATTAATTGCTGAATGAAAAATCAGCCGAAATGATTTCTGAAAAATACCAAAATTTTCTAATTGCACAATTTCATATTTTTTTCATTTATTTACATATTTGAACCTTGTAATGTTTTTTTCAAATATTGACGGAAAATCAACCATTCTACTCTGCAAATTCTAAATTCATAAAGTAAAGGCCCAACCTGAAAATCTAATATTTATTGAGGAAAGTTCTGTAGCGGATTGCTACCTTATTAAAGCCTGACTGACTCAGAAATCTCTATGGCAGATTCTCCTACATCTAACTAGACTCCCAGAACCAGCCAAGCTATAGCCCAGCTATAAAGGAAACAGACGTGTAGAAAGGAGCACGTTTATTTAGCACGGGTATTGCGGATCAAGTGTGTACACGCAGGGAGCTACTCATGATCAGGATGGGGGATTAGGTTAAACAAACAGAGGTTAATGATTGGTGACTGTTTGTACGGTCGCTGCACACAGAGTTGTACGGCCTCACCTCCAAATCCTGGCATGCAGGTATACGATGACGCACAAAGCGATAACGTGTCCCACAGTTCTACCTTTACTAATGAGAGACCATTGGATTTAACCCAATTGAAAATAGCCAAAGAAGAATGAAATATTATTATCAAATTAAATGTTTACCTTTATTTTAACCATTTATTTATATCGATTCAACTGTCTTTTCAAGTGTGCTCGAATTCAGATTAAAAGTACTGAGGTACGTTAGCAACCCTTCTTAAAAAGGAGAAATTGGAATAAAAATCAAATATAAAATTTTAACAATATTTCTTGAAAACAGTTTCTTCTTAAATCAGGCATTTTATATTTTACCTTAAATTTTATTTTATCTCAGATAGTGGGAGATTATAAATGCTGATTACGAGGTAACGCTATATTCAGTGATATTGTAATTTGCAGTTAAAGTGCTTTAAAAAAGATTATTATTATTATTGAAATGTCAAACCAAATTTTATTGTTAATTAATTTTATCAGGCCATGTTCTGAAACTACCCATGCTTAGACCAAAAATGATTTCTTTCTGCCTTAATTTAAAAATTGTCAACTTTTCAGCCAATTGGTATCATTCTATTTTACACCCACCCCAATAACATCTTAATGTCTGCTATGCCAATTAGTGTTGAATTAGAAGACTCAAGTAATGAGATTCTTGTACCACACATATTTCAACATTTATCTTTTATTATTAGTAGGATGAATGTAGACAGGTAGCTCTATTTTTCACTGACCTTGTCTTCATTATACTATTTGCGAAATGGGGTGTGCGATTGACTTACCTCCACGTGATGCACCCTGGGTACCGTATACTCATACGGCAAAAGAGTCGATAAACCGGCAGTTGACTGCTGACTTTAAACTATCATGATCCAACTGTATGTCATATTCAACCCCTACATAGTACTCATCTTACCTTTTCACTGCATTTATGCCTGTCTGCCTCTTTTACATCTATGAATCACTATTCTTTCATTATTTTATCACTTTGCAAAATTAAAAGTATAAAATTATTCCAATCTTTAGTCTTGACTGCTTTAAACAAAACATCGCCTTTTCTCCTGAGAACACCCCCCAGAGTAGTTATCTTGCAATAGAGTGTCAGTGAAATTCGGTTGATGAACGGATGTATCCACTTTCTCCCAGAAATAATCGGAGCTACGTGGTTTCAACTTGGGCGTATCTCCCAGCTAACTAAAACTAGAAGAGTACAAAAGAAAACAACTTTATTTTACTGACTACGAAGAGTGCATTCCGGAATAATTTAATTAAAACTCAATTTACATATCATTAGTTTATAAAAAGCAAAAATTTTATAATATCAGTAGAAAAAAAACGCATGTTTGGGTGGCCTTTTGATATTTACCTTAAAGAATACAAAATTCAGGTAGGAGTGAACGTTTAATGACAGATATAAAAACAAAATTTTAAATTCATCAACTAGGCGTATTTTAATGTAGTTAAATCGTCCTATACTGACTTATGAGTTTAGAAATTGAATTTAATCTTTCTCAGGTGTAATATTTGTGGGTTTAAGAAATGAAACTAATAATTACAATATATATTAAAAATGAGATAAAGTAAGGCTGGTGTGTCTTGAAATTCACCTCCAATATTACCCTTCTCCGGAGACTTTCGTTTACTTCAAAAAATATTTTGTGTTGATACATGCATTTATAGCAACGCTAAATCCAATTCAGCCAAAGATACCTGTTTTATATCCCATTTTATATAAATAAGCAGTTGAAATGGAAGCCTCTTCTTCCAAATTTCTACTCACGCAAAAAAGCGCTTCGATTTGAGCTACCATAGTAGATGTTTCCCTAGTTCTTCATTAATCTCTTTCTCAGTATTACATATAATATCATCAATATGCTGAAACACTAAAGCCTTGGAATTTAAGCAACAATGACCCTGATTAACGAATTGCAGTAGGGTGAAATTGGAAGCAAATAGCAAGCGAGGGGGTAATGGGCCGTAACTAAACAATAATTCCCAAGAGGCCGGGAGGAAACACTTTCCGCTCTAAGTAATTGTGTGGAAATAAAATTAATGATTCTGACTTCACCTATCCAAAACCCATTTAATTTTTCCGAGACAATTAACCTCCTTTCAGTTAAATAAAATTTGACTAGATTTCCATAAAGCAGGCAACTAGCTTGCCAATTCCTTCAAGTGCTTCCAGTATTCACAGGTAAATTGTGATGTGTGAAGATTTATTTTTCCACGCCAATCACAGGTTTGAAAAACAAGTCATAAATTTATTCCTTACCCTATCGTATATATTTATTTCAAATAGTTCATAATGAAGTTTCAATATTTATTTATTTATTTCAAATGGCCGGCGTTTTGATAGTTATCATTAGCCCTTTAGCTGACTTCATTGATAGTTATCATTAGCCCTTTAGCTGACTTCGGGCTTCGTAGACGATAGTTATCATTAGCCCTTTAGCTGACTTCGGGCTTCACTTTATCATTAGCCCTTTAGCTGACTTCGGGCTTCACAGGGGAAAGGAACGTCAAAGTAACAGAAAGTCGATGGGTGGGGAACAGAAGAGTGATTTACAGATGTAAAAGAGTCCAGAAAGTCGAAGGGTGGGGAACAGAAGAGTGGTTTACAGTTGTAAAAGAGACAGACACAAAGGCAGAGAAAAGGTAGGATGATCACTGTGGAAGTGCTAGAATATGGCATCCAGTATTGTTATGGTAATTTGAAGTCAGAAGTCAACTGCCGGTTAATCGACTTTTTTACCGTATGAGTATACGTTGCCCAGGGTGCACCATGTGGAGATAAGTCTATCGCACATCCCACCCTATCGTATATAATAAATTAGAGTAAGACCGCTCTGTATTTACAACAACTCCTGAATTGCGTTTTGATTGACCAGGGACGATCAAATTCATTGTTGACATATATTGGACTCCCATCCCAATGCAACAGAGCAATCGATAAATGGCAGTTGGCAAGCCATATATTGATCTCATATTCCTTCTCAAGAAAGAACAAAACACATTAAAACAATTGGAATACGCCACGCTACTTACACATTTTAGTAGCATATGCTAATACTCTTATCTTCATATCCTCTTATTTCTTCAAGTGACTGGAATCATACCGACCCTCATTCTACCATCTACCAGACTTGCATAAATTATTTCTCTTATATAAGCTTAAACAGTTCTAAAATTTCAGTACAATTTTGCCACGATCATTGTGAACTAACCATCCAAATTCGGTCCCACAAGTATCTTTCAAATATACCACATGAATAACTAGTTTTAACTTCCATTGACTAATGAAATAACAAGCAGCAAAAAAACTAGTTTTCGTAGATATCATTTATTTATAAATGAATATATAACTATATACAAAACATACAGTCAACGGTTTATTTCTAGAGAAACAAAATGAAAAAGAAAAATAAGGAAACCAAATGATATGATGGGATAAATATTCTAGAGATTAGCATTACCTTAGTCCAAATTCAGTTTCAACTCTCCTTCATTCAACTTCCCGATCTTGGGCTTCATACGACGGTTTTTACCAGTCTTGTCTTTGCTGAATTTGCTTTTATTGCCCTTGCCTTGAGAAGATATCCCCTTCCTGTTCTTCTTGTCATTTGGCTTCAGAGCTAGGTGGGAAAAACAGGATTTGATATAGGGGAGTAAACAAAGGCCTAATAAGACGGCAATAAAGGTGAACATACAATTGATTTCTGCTCGCAGTTTACGACCTTGAATTTCGGTCTTCTTTGCCTTTTCGAGCGCTGATTTACAAATCAATGCCGTTTTAAACGTCAGTATAGCGATACTACAGTGAAAAAGATAGTAACGCACTAAAATGAGAATGTTAAACCAGTTAAATATAAACACAACTATAACAATGAAAGAAAACTGATACTCCTAATACCAACATGGTTAATTCAAGTTGGAAATCAAGCCTTAAGCAAGCGTACATCTATTACCTCTCGCAATCAACCATCGAATCTATTAGTGATCAGTGTTTACAAATGATAAACCGCCTTTGATTTGGCCCAAACGTCAACTTTAACCGATTTAAATTGTCCAATTCACAATCCTTGCAAGTACATAATCACTCAAATGCCAAATAAATGCTTATTCCCGATATATGCATTTCCACCAATCGTATAATCGAATCACTATGTTACGATCGAAACATTATCAGTAGGACAGCAGTACAACTTATCCTAATCCCGTCTAGGTGGTGTGCCTACTAAATAATTGAAATATCTACCTTCCTATGACCCACTTGGTCAAATGGCGCTTTCGATGAGCGCCAACAAGTGTCAATGTAGTGACGTTTAACCAGTCAAGCCTGTGTATTGGCCAAAGACAAACACAACTAAGATAGAAAAAACCGAAATATCTCTCCCATCCACCCAGATTTTCGGCTCGAAATTAGCGCCAAAACATCATTCAGTGAAAGCAAAATCTGTACACCTACCCAGTTGGCTCTCTACCTTTAGAGGTTGGTAAGAAAATATGACGGGCTTGAGGGAAGGACTTCTTCAGTTCCTCCTTGGTGATAGCGTAAGGTAAATTGAATAATTTCAGCTGTGTGCCCTCTTTGTTACCATTGTGTTTATTGGACTGTGATGCAAGTTCTTCCAACAGAGCTTTACAAACCTCCGAAGTTGTTGGAGCACAGGTCATTTCTCTGCCTTCTACGGGGTTCTCCTTGCAGATGTTAACAGCTTCATCATAATCTCCTTTTGATGTAAAGGACAAAATGCATGACCTAAAGATTAGGACAAAAAAATTGATTAAGAGAAGTAATTTCTCAACTGGAAATGTATATCCTAATGAGGTGAACGTAATGACAGATTGTCGGCAATCATGGAAAATAAATGGAATTTAATCAAACTTGGCAGATATATAAGAATTTTAGACTACTTTGAATAGGCAAAAGGAGTTAAGCGGAAACTAAAACTACCCCATTTTAAAAGAATAAAAATAGCAAATAAGAAAACTAGTTTCAAAACCAAAGCGAAAACTGAGAGCCTTGAAAAAAATTAAACACACCTGAAATATCTTGCCCTACGATCTTAATGCATATTATCTGCGAATGCAATGAAATTGGCTTTAAACAAGTGGCATGATTTCGGAGACAAATATAAATGATCTGTTGAAGCACACGATCAATACTTTCATCTTCAAGTGGAATATCAGCAATTATAAGATGCTAATTGCAAAACATCAAATGGTTAAACATCTACGCAACTAATATATATATATTATTTTACTACTATTTTTTATTTTTAATAAAAGCCTTAATATTTGGAAATTTATTTCTTACCCTTTAAATGACCTATCATGCCGGCAGCGCTGGATAATGGCTTCAGCCTTGGGAAATATGTTTTTTAGGTCCTCTGATGTCAAGTAGAAAGGGACATTTGTAACATCCAAAAGATAATCAAAACAAGTTGGAGTGAGAGTATTTTCCTTATCAACCACTGATCGAGGTCTCACAAAAGTCACTGTAGTCTATAAAAAGAGGGATCAGATAGAAGCAAAAAAACGAACCGAATGAGATTCATAGGAATAACCCTTAAGGGCATCAAAGGCTTCACAGCAATCCCCGACAGATTTGAACATAACAAGAGCACTTCTTTGTCCATCCTTCTTTGATAGATTAATAGATTTCGGAGAAACACAGAGATCCTTCTTTAGTTTTTGAATTTTAACGTTTAGTGGAAGACCCTTAATAAGAATACACACAGTGGACCCCCTTAAATGGTCGTTAGATTTTGGAATAAAGTCTTCACTCCTCGCATTTTTCTTTGATTTAGAGTTTTTAACTGTATTTTTAACAAAAGTCTCAACCGTTTCAACAGGAATATTCTTAAGCTTGTTTTTATGCGTATGCTTCAAAGACTTCTTCTTGTGATGGACTGAAAACATAATAAAACGCTCATTAACGTGTATTCTTTGAAAAGAAAAATATATATGAAAATAACATACGTTTAGGGTCTTTCAGTTGATCGGTACTCATTACGATTATGGCAAGAACAGTTAGACCAGGAATGCACGCGGAGTAGATTTATCCCAACGCAAATCTCATTGAGAAATTAAACACAGCAATAAAACTTAAAAAGACGTGAAAGTGTTTATATTTTTATATAAAAATTAACTTATTTTTTTCAAATAATTAATTATAAAAACAGGTTTATTAATTCAAATACATGCAAAATGATTTATTACAATTCTGTAAAAAAACATATTGGAGACTTTTAATTAGCTTTGTTTTTAAAAGTATTTAGTTTTACTTTCATTAAATATTATTTGTAACCTATTTATCAATCTGAAGATGAAACAAAATGGTTCCATCAAGACGACTTAATCGGGAATAATATTTGAAAGTTAAAAATTCCTAATCTCAAGATTTATGCAAGAACCTTAGAAATTAAGCCTAGTGACTTCAAGTAAACAATTAATTTGAACACATATATAAATTTCCGATAATATTTTAACGTGACCCAACTCGATCTGGGTAGCTTTTATCAATTAATATAAGGCGATTAGTTTACAAAATTGTCATTCATCTATATAATTCAAAGGTGAATATAATGAAGTTTAAAATTATAACGAAACCATCAAGAATGAAATCAAGGAAAATATGAATGGTTTATTTAAATCAAGAAATAAAAGTTTTGTAATAAAAATGCTTGCAGAAATGCAGTTTTACAAATTTGATTGGAACTCAAATGTACCATTTTTAGCTTTGAGTGCTAAAATATGTAAATGTTAGTCAGAATAATATTTCTATTATTATAAAATAAATTAGTAGTCCATATCAGAGCACATACAATTTTTCAAATACATGTAGCACACACACACAGTTGTTGAACCAAAGTGAGAAAGAAATAACAGAATATCAATTGTTCTCACTTAACCAAAGGAATATTTATTGAGATAACGGTTAACTCTATTTTAAGGTGAATCTATATTACTAACACCGTATTTATATTGAATGCAAGTAGAATAAATTGGGTCTTTGCAATTACACTAAGATCATACTTTTCCCTCTCCAAAAAGGGAAATTAGTAATGATTTTTCATTGAATCATTGAATACTAGAATGAATATTTAAGATGCTGTACGAATTATTATTCCGCCATAAACATTGTGCCAGCAAATGCTTGATAACAACAAGTGGCTTGACCAATAATTGGAGGTGAAATTATATATAAGCGTCAATTCATTTCTTGAATAAAAATTTATTGAAATTGAAATGTGGGTAAGAATACTGGATGTTTCGTAAATGTATTATAATAAGTTATTAACATTATTTAAGAACCAAGTGCTTTGATAAAGAAAATAAATATTGAAATATAATTAATTTATTGAAACTAGCTTGATATGGTTAAAATTAAATTATAGAAAGAATTTGATTATGCGTGTTTGTTTGCTCCATTTGCATGCTCTATTCGTAGGACCTTGACAAATACCCACTAATTTTGCGCCTGTTTTAAGTCGCCCTCGGTTTATGTAGACAAAATTTTCATAGGTAAAAATGGCAAGTGAAGCTTTGTCAAAAAAATTCAGCGTCATTTCATTCGTCGGTAGACGTTCCTCTACCCGTGACTATGCTGTTGAGGAAGGAAAAATTGAAGAACGTGGGTTCAATTTTATTTTCCCATAAACAGCTTTTATTATCTCTCCCTATAGGGTTTATAAGATTATTACTGGAATATTGATATATTTGCATATTTTGGAGTTTATCAATTGCCCTTTATATTTTTACATGACTTAAATTCAAACATTTCTTGTCCTCGTAATGTATCGTCCTTTTTCATTTTAACAAAATATTTTTAAAATTTTTAAAAGTAACCTTTGTTTCCAGTTTATATTGCAAATATTCATGTGTTTGTTTCCATTTCCACAATTCAGCTCGAGGTAACTCATATACATTTTTAGTATGCGTCTAATTTCATGATGATGGACTTTTTAATTGCCTATCATTATGCACTCCATTTCCCCTTAAACGAGTGTGAAATGTGATTTAGATAAACACTACTCTATCGTTTCAATGCATGAAAATTCTAATTAAACTAATTTCTTCCAGGCTTTAAATCAAAATACTCAAGTAAACATATCTGTTGCACATGTTCGCTTTATGAAATTTGCTTAAATTGGCTTTATGTTTTATGTCACCTCGGAAATAAACTGATTTATATTTATTCAAATTAATTTACTCTAAATATTTACAGTTCCCGAAAGCAGTCCGATTGACGATGTTGTGGTTCCAATAGACGATGATATTGAAACTGCAGAAGAAGATGGTGAATTTGGTCTTTACGAAGTAAGTTTTCTTCGAACCTTTTTAAAATGACTTTCTCTTGGACACTTGCTATTGTATCATTGTTCTGCTCATTGAAATTGGTTAATATGATTACGTTTAGGATCTAAGTAATTTTAGCTTTACCATTTTGAAATTTTGATTGAATGAAGAATGATTTGATACTTCAATTAAATTTTACCTCAGTCATTATTTTCCACGCGATTTATTTATGTTTTTCTTCATAAATTTAATTAGAAAATGTTTTCAATAGAAATGCAGAAAATTTTTGAGCGTGTTTAGTTTAAATGAGCTTTCTTCTGTTCTGAGTTTTTTTTTCAAATCAAAATTTTCTCTAAGTGTTGAGTAAATAAATTATTAACAGAACTGAAAACCATAAACTGTCACATCCAGACCACTTTGACCTCTGTGAATGTTTGATTTTCCCCTCCATGTTCTTCGCTTAAAAATTCGCACTCAAAGGTGAAGTATTAGTGTCTGTTTATAAATCCGTTTTGGCGATTGGTTCATTCTTGCCACAAGTTATAACTCATACTGAGGTCAATTTACTGTCTGAAATTTAGTTAAGCCTAAAAATTGTATATATATTTTGAGGAATAGCGCCCATTGTTTCTATTTCGCTTTCTTAGGCTTGCTTGCATATAATACGTATTGAATTAATGATTTGACAATTTACAATGAGGAAATTAGACTCATTTTTGTTACTGATTTCAGTGCATTTATTCCACCAGTTGACTATTTTATCTCAAAGCATTTCAAGAAAAAAATATTTCTTTCATTTTTATTGATACGGTCATGTTTTTCCTTTGAAAGCTTAAAATTAGCCGAATAGGAGGGCATATTTTTCAGAATAGTAACTGGCACAGAGTATAAATACCTCAATATATCTTAAGTGCCCTTAAAATAATTATTTAATTCAGTAGTCTCGTTTGTGATTTGCATTTTCTTATTAAGGCTTAGAAATGCAAGACTTTCATCTTCTTTTAATCAAAATAATCGACATATTACACACCGAAAAGTAAATGTGAGCAGCTTTTCAAAGTAACTATAGGAGCGGCAAGTTTTGGGAAAATTTGTTCTCATTCCAGAGGGTCAGGTAAAATCCCTATTAGCGAAAGGATGTCAGTCGGTTTCTAACAAAAATTCATTTTTATGAACTACTCGGGTATAGGTGCTAATGAAGCACCAAATCCTGACAGTAGGAGAGGTCGAGACAGAATTTAAGTGGCGATGAAACCCCCAGAGAAATGGATTCGACTACGTGTAGAAACATTTCTAATTTATGTGAACGAGATTGCTATTGCTGTATGGAAGGTAGTTTTATTTGCAATGTTTCTCCTAAGATTCCCCTAACACTGGAGTTTTATTATACCACGATCTACGTGAGAATGTTTTCTTTAGATATTTCGGTTGCTATTAATTTAAATTGAACATTGTTATAGTTACCTGGTTAAGGAAACTTGCAAATATGGAACAAGATAGGTTTTATGAATGCTCCATTTAAGGGACAGTCTGCAGACCTAATAAGATTTCATATAAGGGGATGGTTTATGGAGCAAATCAATAATGTGATCGCCACTACATTTAGTTTCTCACGCGAATTTGATTAAGTCATCTGGAATACATGATGCTACATTAACAGAGCCTTCTAAATGTATAGATTTGGTGTCATTAATCAATACCAGTGATTGTAGCAGATGCATTTAATATTGAGAAACAGCTGGATTTTCTAAATAATGGATAGTTTTTTTCCGGATAGAAGTAAGAAATCAAACCACGGAAACAAAGCATCTGAAGTCTGCAATTTGCCTTATAGTAATTGTGACAATTTCCTACGGGATTAATATCTGCCCTGGGTAATAGTTCATACCGAAAAAAAATCATTAGAATTTAATGAGAATTCCTTTTAAATCATTACTCTTAATGCATTACTACAATGCTTGGGGATCGGGCTTCTCTAGTTAGGAGCTATCAATGGGCTAGAGTTGACATACCAGGAGAGAAGTTGCAGTTGCAACAACGCATGCATATATATTATTGATGCGGAAGGTATGACTCCTCCACACCGATGACATTTATTACCCGGGGAATAAGCGTCAGTCCACGTTTTGGTAAAGGCGATAAACAACTTAGGGATCATTGGAAGAAATTGCTCATCTCAATCTTTGATTTTCATCTCCCTATAACTAAAGGGTTGATCATGCTAAAACAGTACATCCACTTCTTCAAGGCACGAAGATACGACTAGGCGTTGTCAACTATCTGAATGTTTAACAACGTTAGATGCGGATCATCTAGAATTCAATTTATAAGCAGAAGAAGGAAATTTCTTCACGTAATTTTAAGTGTTCTCCTTTACCACGTGTTTTCGAACGCTTTCTTCCACTTTGCATTCATTTGGGTCCAGATTTCTTATCTGGTCATCAATAATTTGGCTCACCCGCAATACTTACTAGGGATCGTGAGCATTTCAATTGAGCCGATTGAGAGCTTGTGGTAATATTTGAATATGTACCAATTTATTGGACAAAATATTTAATTTGCATGGGAACATTGCTTTTATTTCAATTTTCAATTACACATTCTCCAAGTTTATTTAGGCTAGGCCCACTTAGAAATCCATTATTACTTTTCAAATATCCGTCAATGGATTCAATGGGTCAATATCACCACAATCATATTTATTTCAAATATTTATATATTCTTGCAAAAAGCACTCTATTTAAGCGTTTTTGATCTCAAGCCCAATTGTCATTGAAGGCAGTGCTCGCTTTATCTAATCAATTAATCTAATGTCACGAAAACGCTTTTGCGTAATTCCTCATTTTTTTAACGGTTTGTCTAGTGACAAGTGAATAGAAGCATTATACTATTTGATGAGAAGATGGAAAAAAGATCAACAATATGCTGTCAAAAGGCTCGTTTCTGTCAGCATAACAGAAATGGAGCTGAGGAGAAGCAAAATGAACCACTTGTCTTGGTTAAATAATTTCGCTCAACATTGTCCTCTTTTTATCGAGTAAAATGAAACGCGTTTTTCTCTCCTTAATGTAATTAAATTTAAAGCCATACGTTTTGGTCTTTGTGTGTGGGCTATAATTAATTGGATGAAATTGAATCTTATGTCATATACTACAGTTATGCGCGACCTTTGGCCACGTGTCTGTTTGTACTTAGTGCACCTTCGTGGCTTAGCACAGAACATTTAGATCAGTAAAATTAATTTAATTTCCAAATTTTATTAATTTTATTCGCCTTTACAATTTACTTGTACCAAATGCCAGGCGATTTGATAGTTATCATTAACCCTTTAGTTGACTTCGGGTTTCATGGAGGCGGGGGGGGGGGGGGGGGGGGGGGGGNGGGGGGGGGGGGGGGGGGGGGGGGGGGGGGGGGGAAGGGGAGAACATCAAAAGGAGAAAAAGTTGGGAGGTGGGGAATAGAAGAGCGATTCACATATGCAAAAGAGACAGGATGACACAAAGGTAGAGGAAAAAGTAAGGTGAGCTGTGTACTGTGGAAGTGATCGATTATGACATACAACGGGGTCAGGCTGTTTGAATTCAGAAGTCAACTGCCCTTTGAAAGACTTTTGCTATATGAGCATACGTTGCCCAGGGTGGACCACGTGGAGATAAGTCCATCTCACACCCCTCCACCTCCACAATGAAATGGGCGATTGGGGAAGAGAATACATCTATAAATAGGTTGGCCAGAGCTTGGGTATATATTAGAAATTGTGGAAGCTGCAAGTCCAACTTCATCTTAAATCGAAACAGTCCTCTTTTGAATTGGCTGTTTATTCGCCATATTGTTGGCAGGATTTTGTCAAAATTTCTTCGTTTAGGCAATTATTGTGTTTTCGATATGATGACTTACTGTATGGTCTAAACTAAAATCTAATCCAAACATCGTCAATGAAATTTATTTCGCTGAAGATGGTTAGCAATAATCCACGTCAAAAATGTGAATCAATATTTTAAAGTAATGCAATTACTGGATCCAAAACTTCTCGAAATTCAAAGAAGTTAAGCTAAAATCGGTTTTCAATTACAAAGGAATAATTTAAATGCATTTTTCTCGCATATTTCATGATATGCGTATAATTCTCTTGACAAACTGGAGAAATCCCTTACCTCAGAATTATGAATTCTAAGAATGGGTTGCGATACCTATCCCATCTTCTGAACTTTAAAAGGGTGATCAAAATTGTCTTTTGTTTACTGCTTATTTGATTTATCTCAAGTGATGAAGAGCATGGAAGTCTACGCCTCCACATAGCCCAGTGTCCACTTTACGTGCGCGCTTTCTACGCCAAATTGGAGGGCAAGTAAGCCATCTCACGCGTTCGGTGACTCATAAATTCAAAATGGTATAATAACGTGCATGGTCTTGCCTCACCGAATTCACACGAAGCCACGATTATAGGCCTGGTATACACCACGCTTTGTTCGGGATGACTATGTCTGCATCCTATCTCATTGTTATCAATCACGTGCTTCCTGTGGGTATCTGGGATAACTTGACGCGCTGATATAGTGCATTTTACACTGTAAAAGTAATCTCGTTTGGCTGTAAATTTCTACGTACTTTTTGCGCGAAATTGAAATGATATATGCATATATTAAGAGGCGATTCATTTCTCGAAATCAAGCAGTCAACGCAGTATAATTAATGAGTTTTCATTGAAAAGGATGTTTTGTTTATAATCCAAAACTGTACTTGACCATTCACTAATTGTTTCTTTTACAGCTTTGCACTCCAAATCTAGAACCAGTGTCATGACGGTTCTGGAAGTTTTCCACTTTGATGTGATCAATTAATTCCGCAGTGTCTCATCATCTTTTCACTCAAACATTTAACGTCCAAACACCCACTTAGACACCTAACTCTACTGCATTTTTAGGCCTAATCATCTAGCTATTTCATTTTAAATACAATAAATTATGAAAGCTTGAGATATCAAGTGAGCTCATTTGGTCTCGTAGCCACAAGAAACAAAAGTGAAGTGAATCGATAAAAAGCTGCAAACATTGCAGTCGCGCAGTTTAGTCGGGAACCAGGTAACGAATCATGAAATTTGAAGGTGAAATGTCAAAAAATCAAATGACAAGATGCCCTGACATTGCTCCTCTTCATATTTCTTTCCTCACATTTATTTGAGCTTACTTAAATGATCATCCAACCACCTGAAATGATTTAATCAATAGGGTTTTGTTAAAGTTAATCTAAATTTAATTTTCCATTTTGCAAACGTTTTCCCAGCTATTTATATATCAGAACCTATTATTGGCAAGATGTGAAATAATAGTTGCTATACGTCCTTGACATTTTAGAAAGTCATGTCTTTTACTGTTCGCCATTAATTTAATTCATTTATAGTCCTTTGTTACTTCTATTTACCATTTGCATCCATACTTATTGCTCAAATGGATAAAAATTTGTTTTTTTTACCAAAGGACACTTTAACTCATTCTAATTTTTCTTGGACTTTTTTGCATTTTTTTAAACTATTTTTCTTTCCACTTGAACTATGGCAAGCCGCTTTGCTTGAAGTCGTTTTACCTTTTCCCAAAAGCGTTTTTTCTGAAGCAGTGAAAATTCGCTCGAATGGAAAAGCTTACAGACATTTCAACTTGTTACTTAGTTCCACTCATTTAACCTTTACCCAGAATGCTATGCCAATGTATTTAAAGTAAGATAACTGTGCAATTCCAAGTCAATAAAAAAACAGTAACAACAATAATAAGCCTCATTACTGGTAAAAAATAGCTTATTTCTGCTATTCCAGTTGTTAGGTCTTGATTATTTGAGAGACTATTTGTTAATTCCATACATCATTTCCTTCCTAAGATCCGATTGCGGTTCGGTTGATAATGGTTATTCCGATTTTTATCCAAACTTCTGTGAGATCATTAAGGAGAGTTTTTTTAAGATTCTTCTAACAAATCAGATAGAGACTTCCATTTTAGATACATATATTCCATAAGTGGAATAAATGTCCATGGTTCAATATGTCTTCTCTTTGTTTGCCGTAAATATTTCAAAATAGAAGTGGGTAGAGCATTCTCAACGCCATTCTCAATCCTATGAGATTAATGCCAATAATGATGACCTATCTCAAGGTCATTTTACTAAGAGTCCATTTCAGATGGGGATTGATGGATAATCTAGTTAAAAAAAAATAGTAGAATAATAGAATTAATGGAATATACTCTCTAATGAGAAATGAATGGAGGGAAACCCGATAACTCCATCGGTCGAAATCAGTTTTCCTCTCTTAATTTACCCTTTGCTATTGTCAGTAAGCTGATATTTCTTTTTTTCCAATTTACGAATTTATACAGATTACAGTAGATGCTACTCCAGATTGAATTGGTTAGTAAAAGTCTTTCGTGAGGGGATTTCATGTCCAAGCTTTTAAGGCCAGACATGTAATTGCGTAGTTACTGCATATTCCCACTACAGTGCTATTATTGCCAACGTTAAAAGCATTTTGGTCACCTAAAATTCCCCCAAATCTTGCCTCGAATGAATCCAAGCCACGCCGCTATTTTTGTTCCTTTGGCACGAACGTGGTATTTGCAGGGCTAAAATAACAAAATGTGTGGGTTGCCATTTGCTGGAAGCATAATGTTAAGTTCCACTTACTTTTTCGAATTTTAGCATGAATATGGGACAAGGCCGCCTATTCCATCGGTCCTCCACAAATTATCAACTTACACTGGAGGTATTGAGCCAACTGCCAATGAAACCAAACTTCTTAGGCACAAGCAAGCCACAAGGAAGCCGGTGAGCAGTTACTTTCTGACAAAGACTTCATTATTTATTGAAATTTCCATTTTACCATTTTTTGCATTTGCGGAGTTGCTTGCCTATAATTGGGTGAGTGGTTAAGGCTCCGTTGACATTAATTGCATCCCCAGCAAAGTTACCTGATGAAAAATGTCTTGAGAAATCTTTTTTTATTTTTCCTGTACTTGTAAATATGCCAGCATATATGTGTTTATCTTTACAAACACACAAGAAAGCCCGAATTAAATGAGCTCTAGACACCTCCGTCGCTTTTCTCATTGTACGTTCACGTTTACTTCAATCCATTTCTCGGGAGTTTGGGTTGATTCATGACATCAAGATTTCATTTGAATGATTCGCGATATTTAACTTTGAATGTTTTTCGAATTTTGATAAAATCTATGTACGTCTTCAGCGTCTTATGCGTCAACCCCATAGTGATAACACCATTGTCATAAGTACATCATTATGATTCTACGTAGTGGCCTTAATTGTTTATATTAAAAAAAACTATTTTTTACATTTGTATTTATTAGTCTAAAAGTATAATTAATATTTGGATTTCTCATAAGAAAAAGGAATTATTTTATGAGTGAAAGGGGAATCGGAATTTTCTTCAAGAATTCTGTTATTTAAATAAATTTATATATTTATTTCAAGTGGCAGGCGTTTTGTTAGTTATCATTAGCCCTTTAGCTGACTTCGGGCTTCACAGGGGGAAGTGAAATTAAAGTAACAGAAATTCGAGGGGTGGAGAACAGAAGAGTGATTCGCAGATGTGAAAAAGTCAGGCAAACACAAGGACAGAGAAAAGGTAGGATGAGTACTGTGAAAGTGGTGTAGTATGGCATACAGTTGGGCCATTGTAGTATGAAGTCGGAAGTCAACTACCGGTTAATAGGCTTTTTTGCTGTATGAGTATACGTTGCCCAGGGTACACCACGTGGGGGTAAGTCTATCGCACACCCCTATTTAAATAAATTAGACTCACATGCAAGAGTAGAGCGGAAGAGAAGTGTCAGTAAGAAGCGAGTCGTTTTGCCTTGTAGTTGCAATAATTTTAATTTGCTATTACTATTGTTGTACATGATAAATCATAAAATTCCAATGTTCTATCATTGAGGGAAAGTAGAAGGAATTGGAGCTGCGCTTGTATCTGCACCCTGTTTTTATCTGGTTTTGAGAAGTTTAATTTTCTTATTTCAATGAAACTATGCTCTGTTTCATAAAGCCGGCTCTTATGTTCCTGAATTCACTACCGAGAAAGGCTATTTCCTCATTGGGTTAAGAATAGAAATATTTCGGTCTCTAGGTAGACCAGTTTTTACTCCTTTGTATTCGCGAAATATCGATTACTTCAGTTATTCTGTAATGATCTGCTCCTTTAATTAAGTTAAGCTCATAAGAATGAATTTTTGAAATGTCAAATTCCATTTCTTAATCCATTTGCTTCCTCTGATATTCCGATTTTTACCAAAGTGTTGTTCTTTGGTGTTACATCGAATTGGACCTTTCGAAGTGGACCATATTCGAGTTCTAGATTGAAATATATTCCGTAGGGTTATTTGATAGCTTTTCTTTTAATAATGACAATTTTAGCAATTGTTATGTTCAGATAATTTCTACGCCTTTTGCGGCTATACATATCATTTACATCGGCCTTACCGCTCCAAATGATTATTCCTGCTATGGTTGTGATATTAAATGTTTTTAAAATTTTATTAGCAAACAGTGTTCACTCATGGTGATCCAATTGGTTAATGATCCATTCATTTAAATTTCATTTTACACCGAGGCATTCGCAAAAACCATAATTCGGATCTTGTGGCTTCAAATAGTGACATGAATTTTACTCTAGTTTTCCTCGTTTTGGGTTTTATGGAAAGTTATAAAACCTTGGTAAAACTCTACAGACAGCCAATAGTAAGTGCGCATTTATTCGGCATAGTGTGCCTAGAATAAACTTGTGTTTAAGGAATGCATTTTATGAGGAGGATGTGCTTGTTGTCCAAATTCAAGAGCCAAACCCTAGTTTATTTTGACACTTTTTCGAATGAAACTATTTGGGATGGAAAGGGCAATGCTGAAATATCCTCTCTTGAGCTTAAAATGCCGAAAGTTTTTTTGCTATTTGCTATAATTAACGCCAAAATCTCATAAAAATGAATTCATGGTACCCTTGCCAATTTTTAGCATTTCAGCTAGAATGAAGTTATCGGAACCAGAGGTTAGCAAAGAAAAAAAGGTCAAATAATTTGATAGGTTAAATAAAATGGGCTTTACCAAGTCAATGATGATGAGTATTTGCGTATGTTTGACCAATTTTAAGATATGGCAAGGATGACGCATCTTGACATCCTTACTTTGACGCGTACATTTTGACTGCAAACACAGAGACGGAGGTTTAGAGGCATGGGATTCGATAAACCAGGTTGCTGGAGGTGGACATAGAAAAGTTTGATACGTTTGAATGGCCTCTCTTCATTTAACATGAAGGAGGAGTTGTTTGAAGAATTTGGAATCCAAAGGAAGATTTAAGTGTTTGGTTTAATGGACGACTCAAATTCACTTGGTTAATGTCTCGGTCTGCCATGGTGATGTACCTTACATGGTTCACCTGTATACTAGAAGCAGACGTATGCCTGAAGCTTCTCTTATGTGTGTTCTTTCGCCTCATCATTTTAATAAAGTTTAGATTCGTCATGATGAGCTTAAATCAACTTAAATACCTCACTTATTAGACTACACTATTTCCTTTAGAGAGATCAATCGAATAATCCAATATGAAAGGCGAAAATAATGAATTTCTCTAATGTGTAAGTTTAGCGTTATTATAAATCGATTGGGAAGTTTTGAAGCTTTCCCAGTCATTTGAAAACAAATTATTTTTATTCGTCATACGTTATGTTGATTGACGGCAAGTGCTGGTGAACTTCCTAAAGATTACTATCTATTACCACATTAGATGAATTCGTAAACTCATTTTTGTTGAGCCAAAATTGGCATTAATTTTATGATGCTCCTACAACCATTTCTCCTGTCAGAATTTGTCCAATCTATTTCATTTTTGGCCAATTTTATTGACAAAATATTTGACTTCTGAAGTGTTTTCAGTATTTGATGGATTCGAAAAGTATAAGATTTCTACTAAACAGGGAGGTGCAATACAAAGCAAAGAAACGGAAAAAAGGGCTATATAGTGGCGCTTAGATATTTTTTTAACTTAAGACCTCTTGAAACATGCCATTAAAAGTTCGGACACACCTCAATTATGGTTTTCTTTGTTTATCTGGCGTTGCATTGAATCCATTTGTACGCACTGCACATGAGTCAATATGGTAATAATAAACAAAATGGCATCTCTATACTTTTGAACCCTCAATAACAACAGTAAATCGGTCGTTTCTTATTAGCTTTAGTATATTCCGTTGTTTACGTGTTGCTAACTGTAGGGCTGTGAAAAGTGAGAAGACCGCGTATTTGGTTAAAAACATGCTTTAAATGACATAGCGTGGAGAAAGCTACTGTGAATGTTAGGAGGTACTCGTTGAAGAACCCAACTCCAGAAGTTGACCAATAGAAATTATCGAGATGGGGGGTGGTGGGATTTGTGTGTAGTTTATAAAATGACGTTTAAGACAGTGGTAGTATTTGAAGGACAGTGAATAGTCCAGCTGTTCCAAAAGTAATGACTTCATGGCAATTGGGGACTTGAAAAGGATGTATGCTGTGCATGACGACTAAGCTGGCTGGGAAGTTTTAGGAGCAGGATTTCATTTTCATAAAGGATATGAAGAGATTAAGGGATGACCCCTAATTTTTTCAATCATTCCACATGAAAATATTTTGGATTAGTGGAGATGTATTTTTATCACAATTTTCTGTTATGATTAATAGTGTTCATGCACTAATGGTCATATTTGAGCATCTGAATAATGAAGTCAGCATATAGTGTCTTGATAATTCCCCTTACACACTGGCATTTCGTTCATCCATTTGAGGGGCCCTCTTATCTTGCACTTATTTCTCTCTCAGTCCCTACACAGTATACACTCAGCCTATGATGTTATTCCAACTTAACGAACGTCAACTGAGTTTCCTTTTAAATGTCATTTCTTTTCTTCCCAATGATTCATCCATACGGAAAGGACCTGCTCAACAATTGAATCGATTGACTTCGATTGCTATATGACTTTTTGATTTCATAATTTCAAGGGAAACGTAGATGACATGACACTTAAATTCAGATGAAATAAGAGATTTGATTACTTTAATTTGCTATCTCCTTCTATTCCAACCCTCCCTTAACGTCTTATTGATCAATTTCACTGATCCCCTTTTTTGCTATGTCTCTCATATCCTTTTAATGTGCGACAGCAAATGATATAATGTTCGTGTAAATTTAAAAGCGATTAATTAAATGGTACTTATTTACTGTGTCCTCATTCTACCTTTCTGTCAAATTACTTACGGTGACACTTTCTGAAGTCATTACTTAATACAATTTCCTATACTCATTGTATTGATCTCGGCAGTTCATTAGTGAGATTAAAATCCTCCGCATTCATTTTAGACAAAAAATAACTTTCATCTTTCGCATTAGGGATAATTATGTGGTCGCTTTTGCTCATCAAACTTGCACATGTCTAATAAGAAGTGGACATTTCTTCTCTAATTACAGAGCAGACGTAAGGGTGTGTGTGTGTGAGAGGTAAAATCATTACCATTGGCATAGTTAATAATGATTTTGACAAGTTAACACCTCCGGCCACCTAACATTGTAACCACCCACAACTTTTCTTTTCTTGGCGTGTCATTGGTGATTAGTGCATCACTAGTACACCTGCAACTATTTTAAGGTCATTCTTAATTAAACCAGTTGGCATATTTACGGTTAGCTTACTAGCACTTTAAATTTTGGCTGTCAAAATAGTGCAGAGAGTGGGAAGTATATGACTAAAATATAAATTATAAACCGGTTTTAAAGTACATTGTTGCTTATTTTTCACAAACTACTTTCAAAGGTGACCATATAAACCAACAAAATCCAATTAATTTTACATTATTTTTGCTCAATATAATAAACCTGCCTCCAACTACGA